AGGACGTGACCCAAGTAAAAAAATGCCATTTTTTTAGTATCCAGAAAAGCCACACCGAGTTTGTAGTACTTTTTTTTCAGGAGGGCCCTGCATAGGGATGTTTTAAAAATACGTTTTCAGCCAAAGAAAGCGCAGCCCTGCCACTGCTTGCACCTGCCACTGGGGCCTTCCCCAAAATAATCTCGTCTCAAAGGGCTCTTGATAATAATACATTGTGGGGTGTGAAACCATACTTTACCATGCCGGTTAAGGCAGGCTGAAGGGGGGGGGGGGCACTACCGATGCAGATATGACTCACGAAGGACGTTAGCCATGGCCAGGAACCAAACTCAAATCGCCAGGTTGATAGTGCAGTGCAGCTTAACCACTGCGCTACCACAACACCCCAATGAAGCTCTTCGGTGCAGCCCTGCAATTACTGCTCATGCCACTGCTGGCAGAAGGGCCTTTATGAGAGGAAGGCTTGAAGAGCTCCTTTTGGAGGGTATTATAGCCAAACATTTTGGTAGAAATGGGAGTACCCACACTTTACCCCACCACACAAGACCTGTCGACGAACTATGGCATACCCTTTTACAAATCCCAGGTGAACAGAGGCAGGGGCATTTCATAAACTTATCCATGGTTTTAACTGCCATGCCGGGAAATTAAACAGAACAGGCGACCTCTGGATTGCAAATTCCACATGATAACCATTACACAATGGCAGCATTCCTTAAATAATGTAATGTGCATAAAGCACACCCTCAAGCGCTAGTGTGAAGACGAAGGTGCGCGCTACATCGAAAGGTGCTTGTTTAATGGTTTTTGAGTGGCTGTTGGCTTTTAAAAAGAGAAAAAACTGTCTTGTCATGATGTATAATGCAGATGGTGTATTTGACTACGCGGATCGTGGGTGACTTGAAAAGGTCCCACCATGTCCTTTCGCAGAGTGGGGTGGGGATGGGAAAATGCGGAGAGTCTGACGGTAGATTAGCGTCGACGATCTCGGATGGTGGGGGGGTGTAGGGTCAAAAGTTTAGTCTCAATCACTCTCGCCAGGATTTGCGTAATGAATGTGTGCCATGCCATGTGGGACAAATGCAACCACAGTAAATGATTGTGCTGTGCATTATGCAATAGAGGCAAACCTGCATTCGGATTTTTATAAATGTAATAGCTTTTTTGATCAAGTGTTTATTCAGATTCTGGTGCTTTTGGTCAGATTTTTTTATCGTGTTGTATCTTCAAAAAAATTGATCTAGAAAAAGTTAACAGTCTATTTAACAATATGGCAATAATACCATGAGATGTACTGAAATGTCCTTGATTTGTCAAGTTATGTTTTGTTAATGCATCTGCCGTTTACAAATGCCTATCACTCAAGCTGCTGTGCCTCTTGTGTAGTTATAAACATATAATTAGAATTCACAGGACTTTGCACATCTACTGCTGGGTGAAGACCTCCCCCAACATTATGTCGATCGTAGAGATTGTTTGGCCATAACTTCAGCACACCGTTCAAGGGGGAGCCCAGGACTGATTCGGTTATTACTCAATATCGATGTTAGCTCTGGCGAGGAATCAAACTCGGGTCGTCGGTTTCATAGTTCAGTGCACAAATATTCATGACATATTATGATTTGAAGCTTTCGTGACTGCAAGGATTCATATTCTTAGGTTTTTTCGGTAAAGTCACGTAGGTAAAACATTAAAATTAATAAAAGTAAAATAAAATAAAAATCACGACGTTTCGGAGGCAACACAATATATACGGAGTGGTATCTCCTGTAATCTCTCATTTACTTGATACAGCTGTCGGGCTGTGACGGTTCCACCTGAAGACGGAAGCTTGTGTTGCCTCCGAAACGTCGTGATTTTTATTTTATTTTACTTTTATTAATTTTAATGTTTTACCTACGTGACTTTACCGAAAAAACCTAAGAATATGACATATTATGACTTAAAAACCCAACAAATTGTCAATAACACTGCCTTAAAGAAATATATAATGGGTGAAGTGTCAAGCAATGGCCCTTCGCATAGCACAATGGAGTGTCTATGAAGAAGGCCCATTGCCCAAAATGTCACCTATAATGTTTTTTCCCTTTTAAGGCCACTGAGCAGCGTACAACAATTTGGACGCCAAACAGCACAATCCCAGGTGCCAGGTTCCAGGCCACGTACCAAATGATAAGATGCACCCCCCGCCCCCCCACCAACTTTTACTATAAAATAATTGAGAATAAATGTGCATCATAAGATGTGGAGAATACAGTCTTGAATTAAATGTGCACACGGAAAAACCTGTGCATTATGCAACATGGGCATATGTGTACCACGTATCTCTCTTTGTGGCACACAGCGGTCAGAGGTTGCAACAAATGATAACACACACGGGGAAAATTTAAACAACTGGCAATCCTGATAATCGCTTGATTACAAAATCCTTTACCAAAGGTGAATATTTGTAAGCCACGGTCCATTTGTCTTCTTACAATCTATCCAATGGTTTGACCAATCGAGCTGACATTCTTAGGAATGGCCAAAGACTTTCATACATCATCTGAAATTTATTTTCGGGTCAAGAGGTTGAAGGTCGAGATCAGAAGACTTGTAGAAACCATTCTATTGTGTGCTTGTGTGGGTATGTGCGTGGGTCTGTGTGTGTGATGTGTGGGGAGCGCTAGTAACCCACCTATATATTTGATGAATTGTCACTATTCAGAGTCTCAAGTGATTTAAACATTTTGTATATCATTATGGTAATGGTAGCGACTTTAGTGGCTGTTGGTGATGTAAATTGAGCAAATATAACAAATGCATTGAACAACAACCGTTTACATTTGCGAATTGATGCTGAATGAGCTTGACAATCCATGTAAAAACATTGATTACTCATTATCATTATCCATAATCGAGGTTTTGGGTTAGATCGCGTAACCCAAAAACCTCTAATATGGATGATATTGGTCGCGAAAGCCTACGTGTTAAACATTATCATTATATCTGAATCGCCCTGCTACAGAAACGTGCAGGAAGGAACCTGGCCTACCTCAGCTGATGTCCTGTGACCTGCCACCCTCTCACTCATCGACTCAGTTGGCAAAGCATTGTGCTCCACAGCCTCATACACAAAACTGACAGCACATTAAAATAAACGCAATGTGTATTATAACTGGTACTCTGGAACTGATACGAATCACCTGGCAAACATTCTACCACCAAACTTCCTCAAAGGCGTTTACACGTTTTCTATACCAATGAAAACCAACCAATCAGACAAGACCTCAACAAGGTACTGTGCCACCAACTCGAGGCCTGATCCCCCTTCTAGGAATCGTGCACTGTCACCATCCTAGAATCTCACTCAGATTTCGGAAGAACACTTGAGGGACAGAGTGGAACAATTCGGACGTGCAGAATGAACACCTCATTCAAGACCCACACATCTCACCTCCTAGATTTCACATTCCTCCCTGGTCTACCATGAACTGCATCAGAACATCGACAGGCCAATGTGCACGTCGAGTTGATGAAAGAAACATTAAAGACAAAGCCAAAATACAACTGTGGCTAGGCAAGATATAGTAAACCATTGTAGTCAGCACTCCTTAAATGGAGAAAAACTACACAAACTGGCTCCCGAAGCCTACTCATGGCTAGCAGAAGTCGACATTGGCATTTAGTTCCTGAAAATATTTCCATACTCGAGCGTAGAATTGATCACATGCAACTCAAAGTAAATGTGATAAAGGCGCAGCCCTGCAACTGCTTGTTAATGCCACCGTGGGCAGAAGGGTATCCATTAAGAGGGCACTCTAATGAGCTTCTCACGGTGATAATTTGGATATTCCACTGGCCAGACCTCTTGGAAGAGGTAGGAGTACCGACACTTTACCCCACCCCACATGCGGCCTGCCATGTGAGTTGCTGTTCACTCAATAGTATTTAGGTATTATTCACACGCTCTGTGTTGTTTCCGTAAACACGCGTGTAGCACACCCAAACAATTGAATGGTGCATTAAAAATCAAGCATGTTTTGCAGCACATAGAGAAAACTGCTAATGATTTTTTTTAAAGCTCCTTTTCTTACTCTCTGGCACGTCGCGCAAACGCAGTGCCAGAGTTGGCTTTGACGAAAATCAAAACGGCACAACAGAACACACGAGGGCAGATGAATGTGTCTGGCTTTTGGGCAGCTTCTGGAAGAGCTCTGGAGAAACTGATGAGACACGACAGCGGGAACTTGCACTGTGATCCATAATTTTGAGTCATTTTTGCGAGACAGAGGTGACACGTTTAAAAAACAAATCCATTAAAAAGTGCTTATTGTTGACATATACCTTTGTGTTGGTTTAGGGAGGGGGAGCTAAATTCTCAAAGGTGAATGTGCAGCCCTGCAATTGCTTGCTTGCGTCACTGCTGGTGATATGGCCTCCACTGGAGGAAACTCTAGAGGAGCCACTTTAGACAGTATTTGGCCTACTCTTCCATGCTGGCCACACATCTCTGAAAAGGCTGGGGGGAAAGGGGGGGGAGAGTACCCACACTTTGACCATATAGAATAATTCTGTGTGCCCATATTTACCGCTGGCTGGACAGAGGTGTGTAGATTTAAGAAACTTGCACCCTTGTTTAAACTGCCGCGCTGGGAAATCAAACTGACAACCAAGTGAACCTCTAGGGCGTCAACACCCCGATGGAGGCTGTAATCCCCATCCCTTGGGCAAGATTTATGGTCTGCCATCTTCAAATGCCATGGCCTGATAAACTCGTTCGGCGGCCGAAGATCCAGGATGGGTCAAAACCTACCGGTCTTCTACCTTATCACAACAAAGTGCCGGCTGCTCTGGAGAAAACCCCCTACCCACCTTCCCGGAGGGCACCTTGGAGCCAGCTCCGATGCGATATTAGCCCATCCGTCTCCTCTATCACGGGGGCTGTCTTCTGAGATGACCGCGTGATTGTAATAAGGAAGTTGGATGAATGCCAGGCGGTGGTAGTAGTCAACACCGACCTGAGGCGTCCGTGCTCATGCGATGCCATGCGTCGTTTAATTCGGTCAGCTGCTGTTCACGAATCTGCTGGTGGTGGTGGTGGATGTCTGGATATCTGTGCCGTCCGGAGCACTGGACGATGGATGTCCTGCAAGCTCAAGCAGGTGGACGCACTTGGCCAGGGAAAACGAGAGAAGGGGAATGGGTCGTTACGAACCGTGGAGAGAGACATAGACTCACTCATACGACTCGCCGATTAGCACGGTTGGCTACGTACGGTGCGAAAGAAGCCTGCCATCCAAAAGTCGAGACTCCAGTGGGTGGGCCATGGACCTCGTTTGGCATCGTGGTGGTGGTGGTTGTGGGTCACGGTGGAGGGCAGATCTGGCTTGGGCATCGTGGACGCTTGCCACACGATAACATCGTACACCCGGCGAAATCACCGATCAGAGATTTGCCCATATATGGGTATTGTGGATCGTTAACCGAGCTTAATCGTATCGATTCCCCGCTCAGTCGATACGCAACACACGTGTTCAATAATAACATGCGGGTTGATTCGCCGTGTCGATTCGCCGAACAAATCGATCTGTGGACCGAGTCGCGACGTTGAGACGCCACCCACAACAACTTTGATTGCCGAATATCAGCAATATCGACGATTTCGTCGCGGTTTGCGTTCATTGCACAGCGGAGCGCCCCCCTCTGATTCTTAGTCGCTTAAATTTCGATTTAAAGCTGCTTTCGTGACTGCAGGGATTTATCTTCTTGGTTCTTTCGGTAAAGTCACGTAGATGGGAAGTAATAAAATAATAAAAATAAAACATAATAAAATAATTCTCACTACGTTTCGGCCACAACGCAAGCAGCCGTCCTCAGGTGAAGAACAGGTCTGTCATTCAGACTCTGTCTTATCGACATGTTCTTCACCTGAGGACGGCTGCTTGCGTTGTGGCCGAAACGTCGTGAGAATTATGTTTTATTTTTATTATTTTATTACTTCCCTTCTACGTGACTTAATCTTAGTCGCTTGTCCACCCGGTGGACTTGGATCTACACGATTCACCGTACTCGTGTGGTATCCAATAACATTGGTCAACAAAAAAAAATTCTGGCCTGGACTTTTGCAGCTGTTCTAGACTCATTTCAGGGTGCTGATTCCAAATCTGATCTCAGATTTGCTCGATCACATCTCATTTTTATGCTATCGGCATACCCCATTTTCATTGATTTTACCCGAAATTAACTCTGTCACTTATGATTGCAAATTGTTGCGAGTCAGTGACTGCTTTAGTGTTAAAATATGGTTCTGTATTTTTAGGATAGTGTGTTTATAATATCATTTTATGTAGATATCCACATTTATTTTAGATTTTTCTTCTGCAGTTTTTATTGAAAATGCAATATTTGATATCTCAAAAACCTGATGTGATAGACAAAACTGATGCCACATTTGGAATCAGCACCCCCAAATAACCTTAAACCCGTCGGAATACCTTATGCCAGAAAAAGTGTGTTGACCAGTGTTATTTAATGGCAATCGAGTTTTGCTCGGACGCTATATTGAGTCCGTAACTCGCTACCCTTACCGAGCGAACGTGTGACATCTCCGGGTGTTGAGATGCCGGCAATGAAATACCTTCAGACGTTCTTTCGTTTAAGACGGCTGACGGCACATTCCAAGTCTTTCTTCGTTTCATCTACTTGACAATAGCGATGGAACATTGTCGCTAAACGCTATGGTGCAGACCCATAATGGCTAAACGTGTCTCTGCAGCAACGCTTTCTGACTAATATGGCCAGTAAGTGACAATGATCCTACCAGACACAGTTCGAAATATTCGCCGTGAGAGGAAATCTAATTAAGGTCTGCCTCTTGTCCATCTCACATCCACGAGCCACACCTGGACAGGTAGCGATCCTAATACCGTGTTCTTGTAGTCTGCCGATTAACTAAGTGTTCTTTTTTATTTGCTCATGCCTAAAAAATTAACCCGTAAAAACAAAGTTTTTCACTTATAAATCCTTTATATGCGTGGCAGCAAACTTAATATAAAGGATATAAAAATATATTCGCCTGTGGAGGACGCGGAGATCGATCCCGCGACCTTTGGCATGGGAATCGAGGGCGCTACCAACTGCGCTACTCCGCCACGGCCTGTGGAGGGGTTACGCTCTGGGCTCTTACACTGTGACGTTCAGCCAAAAGCCATGAATGAGTTCTATTTGAATATATGTAAATCTATTTTTTTTGCCTAAAAAGTGTAAAATTTTGGGAATTTTTTTCAAGAACATTAATTGTCTCGCACAACGAATCTGTGTGGAAAATGTCAGCTCGATTGGATCACGGGAAGTGGGTTAAAAAACGACCGAAAGATTTGCACGGTCGTAAGCAAGCAAGTGAACTTAATATAAAGGATTTAAAAAGTATAGAAAATGGATATTCCCTACAAACTTTGCTTTTGTAACCAGGACTGGAAAGACACAAATGCACACGGTTTCTCGTAGAAAATAGCTACATTGAAAAATATCACTGTCCTGGTTACAAAAGCAAATTTTGTGGGAGTAGCAATTTTCTGTACTTTAGAGGCAAACAAACATGTTTTTGTTACACACTTATAAAACGCATGGGCCTTTTTTTTCAAAACGAACCCCCAGCGCCCCCCCCCCCCCCCGAACGGTTTGTAGAGGCATCTTACTTTCTGGATCCGAGGAATTGCACGCTGATAGGATTTTGCATCCAACGCCTGGCGCTGTGATAACAGAAAGACTGACGAATACGGATACCGATGAGAGGAGATCCGCTCCGTTATCTCTGAGCCAATGGCATTTCTTGTTTCTCCACCTTGCGTTGATTGGATGGCAAATCTACAGAAAATTGTACTGCTCCAACCCCGAGATTGTTTTTCTCGCAGGCTAAATACGTGCGATTGGTTAAATGTGTTCGTTTACTCGGAAGCAAGGAATTCTCACGCAATGCGTCGCATCCTTCAATGTTTTTCCATCATTTGGGCTTCACGAGTTACCGCCCGCACGATGATTTTCTTCGTGATTACACTTTTGTGTGAACAACTCCCCTTGCTGTGTTCTTCGTCGAATTATTCCGCCTGCATTTGTTTTTATTTTCAAGGAACACGAGTCTAACATTTATCTCGTCAGCAGGATGGCAGCGCAGTGGTTAACACTTGTGATCTCACAAGCTGGAGGGTGCTGGGTTCGACTACAGGTTCGGGTGCCGCTCTGTGTGGAGTTTGTGTGTTCTCTCCCTTGTTCTGCATGGGGTTTCGTCTGAGTAGTCTGGTTTCTTCCCATACACTGTCATTGGTGTTGGCCATACATCCCTCTCGAGAAAGTCTTCCACTCGGTGTGGCTTTTCTGGGTAAATAAATAATGTGGTTTTCTTATTGTTGTTGTAACAGCATGGGAAGTTATCTGAAAACATTTGCATCACAGTGCATGGCCGTGTCTGGAGAATTATGGCCAATTTGTGCTGCCAATGTGAAGCATTAATGAATTGACTCCACTCTGTGGGGATGCTTTATGGCGTCAGAGCAATAGGTTTGTAATTTGTCTCAACTGTATCACGATTAAATTGCAATCAACATCACTTATTTAAGCAGCTGCGACTGCGGAGCTAAAATATCTTTATTGTAAGTGGAATTAAATGCCACATTCCCCAGGCCATTTTGAAGCAAGGTGGCCCAGTTTTCAACGCCTATTTTTTTTGTATGATAGCCTGTGCTTTGTACGTGCTAACGGATGTAAAGTTGAAATGATTAAAATACTAATGGCAGGCTTGTGTTGAGCGTTGTCTCATTGTGGAATATAATGACAAAGTAATGGCAAACATAATATTGTGTTGATCTTCATTGTGAAGATTAATATCGGATCGTACATTTCACTTTGTTACAACACATTAATTACCAACATCCACTGCCAGGTGGCTCAGCAGTCGAGCGAGTTGCTTGTAATCGAAAGGTTTGCGAGTTTAAATCTTGGTTAGCAGGTTTCACTCAGCTCATCATTCCTTCCGATAAAATGAGTACCGCTTTGTGCAGAAGTCAACAGTGATTTGTCCTCTGGAGGTATGTGGAATTCCCACCACTGACTCAGGGATGTAATTGGCAGATGAGCACCTCCTCATTGCTAATTTGAGCAGGACATTCACGTTTAACTTTTGACTGCAGACAATGGCACCACCAAGAATGCCGTGCCACCCAATTATGCTCAACCCCGCCAAGCGACGACCTTACCCCTTCAGTTGCCAGAACATTGCTCCCTGGACAGAAGCTCCCTTGACTCTGCTGTCCGGATATTGAACTGCCTCCCTGAACACTTTGTCGGCGAAATCACCAATTCTGGTCTTCAAGCCTTCGAATGCCGAGCGCACACACGGACATCTCCTAACTTCACCACACGCCTTGTAGGGACTGAGTCTTTGAGCTGCAGTGAGCCAATGATTATGCCGATTATATGTGTTCATGTCTCATATGGATATTGTTCGCAATTGCAGCCAATAAAAACAAAGTGGCCTAAGTGATGAACTTATTCAGCCCCCAAACTGTTCGGCAGCCCATTACATATGGCAGCTAAAACGCTGGGATTTTTTGCTCTTATATAAGCTCACAAACAGTTTCGGAGGAATTAACCCATTTTTATACAACTGCAAGTGCCGCTGGAAAGCCAAAAAAAATAAGTAAAAATGTGGAGGTGCTAATGCTTCTAACGCTCGGCTTGTCCCTGCTAACTGTTGTTGCATGACAAGAACTCCATGAACGGCACAATGACAGCTCTTAATTATTTCTTGGCACGTTATGGATTTAAGCACTGGGAACATTGAGTACTGCACAAGCCAATTGCACAACAACAAAACAGCTTGAGCAAGCAAATCACGATCAAAGAGGTATTTTAATCGCAGTACAAAACGTGCATACATTTATGGCCGACTGCACTGAAGGCAACGCTTTGCCCCCTATGGTAATTCCAGCATGATTGTCTACCGAAAGGACAAGCTTGTTGGCGACACAAAATTAAAAAAATAAAATACAAGGCTGTAGCATGGCATAGCGCCTGTGGCATCTCAACAATTGCTGGAATTCAATGAATGCCCCGAGGCTCAGAATGCGAAAGTCAGCCAAAATAAACGAAAAGGACAAGGGGCACTGGAATAGTTCATAACACAGAGCACACTGCCACAATACTAACAAGTGAGTTGGTTGACTTTTTTCTGTATTCATTTTTAGCAGCGATGGCACGAAAATTAACATGAACAATACACAACGTCTGTATGAACAGCAATGAGGTTTAGATCAACATAGTTACGTCCGAGGCTTGCTGCCACTGGTGGAATAGCAAGCTCGTCTTCCAGAGGTCCCCTGATCGATCTACTGGTGAGGCAGCTGAAACGATGGAGCAGGTTTCT